GTTAATTGGCAACACGGAAGCGAGAGTCGAACTAGTGGGGCCCATCAGCATCCATCACATCAGCACTATCGCTATGAGGGAGGAGTCATGAGGGGCCCATTAAATATGCGCCGCTGCCCTCATAATTCCTCGAAAGTTGTTCCCCAAAGTCGTTTACAACTTGATTCTGATTCTGATGCTGACGCTGATGCTGATACGAACGATTGGCAGGGGGAGAAACCATCGAAAAACAAGGATAAAGGCCAGGAATCAGCACTAGGGGAGACTCTTCTGCCTGTCACGTCAAGTGGAGACGACGGGCACGGCACCGATCCGGCAGGGAGTCAAGTCCAAGGCCAGGCCCGGGCCCGGGCCAAGGCGAGACACGACACGACACACACAGGTTTAATGGGGAAGTTTTTGCGCCGTTCATCTTCTGTACTCGCATCGCATTAATATTTACGAGCATATTAAGATGCTCCATCCAGCAGGAGGAGAGGGCTACATAGATGGCAATTATTTCCACCAAGGGCGTGCTAATTGCGGAGAGCAGAGAGCAAAGCAGAGCAGATGGAATTCGGCTGAAGGGAGCTTTGTAGCGGGTGTGGGGGAAAGCTTGCTCAAAGCTCTGCACTCTACATACAGCAATCAAATGGTAATAAATAGTGATAAAATCGCTTGCGATGGACAAGGGTATGAAAAGGAAAACAATAATCAGCTGATCGACAGCTCTCAGAGAGGGCTGATAAATTGTGTGTGGGCAACCTACTCTACGTGTATGGAGACCACGTAAGATCTCTTCTCTGATCTCTTTACTGTGCCTCTTTGGTATCTGGTCTCGGGTGCAAGTGTCAAAGCGTCAGGGTTGCCACACAGCTCGGACTCGGACTCGGGCTCGGGTAATGGTAGTCGATTGGCCAGTTTAATCGATTAGCTAGATGGAGTGGTATGTCGTGGGGAGGCGAGGCGAGGCGAGGAGAGCTGGATTGGTGTCCAAAATGGTTATTGTGAACGGACCCACGAACAGTTGCAAAAGAGCAGGCAAAACACATGTGGAGGCAGGCCAGGCCAGGCCGGGCAGGCAAGGCTTACCAACTTACCAACAAATCTCTGTAAAGCGGCAACAGCACGGCAAGGCGATCCACAAGACGGGGAACGGCGGAGAACGAACGAACGAACGAACGGCTCTTGGTAAATCGCTGAAAACCGAAAACCGAAAACCAAAAACTGAAAACTGAAAACTGCAAAAACCACAACACAACAAAAATTGCACGCGGCCCGAACTATTTCCCAAATTGTTGCCAAAGAACTTTGTAAAACTGATTATTTTCGCAACTGCTTGCAGTGGCCCACACGATCGAGACGGGGAGCCGACGACGATTAGCGCGCTTGACTTCTGAATGAAAACTGAGTTTCGCTCGCGATGTGGGGCTGATTAAACGCGAAAAGTGGGGACGCTGCCAACCTACCTGCCTGCCATCGGCGTCTCTGTCTCTGTCGTTGCCGTTGTCCGAGTTCGAGTCCGCTTTGGCGTCGGCGTCGGCGCCAACGCTGCCGTCAGCTCAGCTCAGCCAGCATCGGCAGAGCGCAGAGCGCAGGCGCAAGCGCAGAACTTGCAAAGCTTCTGGCTATGGAAACTTTGCGGTCAGTACAGGTCGGTGACAAATGCAGCGAGAAAACTTTCCGCGGCTCTGCGTCGAGTGCATGGAGCGGAGCAAACAATCTAATTGCCCTGGCCCATAGCCCGGCCTGGACCCGACTCGAACTCCGACTCCGACTGAACCCCTGAACGACGTGCTCCTGTTGTTGATGTCGGCGGCGGACCCAAGGTTCAAGGGGATGCATCACAGTTGTGCATTTACTGGTTTCGCCCACTGTCGAACGAATTCTTTGGAATGCTCCGATCAGAGCTTTCGACATGTGCAATGTCCAAGGGTTTCGGAATTCGTATCGACGATCGGGTAATCGGCACCTGCTGGCCGACTGATGCCAGTGTAGGACCTAACACTTATTCGAATTAACAAACTATCGCCACGCCCCACGCCCCCCATTCTATATTCGATAATTATACACGGCACTCGATGGGTACAAGGGTGGCCGTATAAGTATAGTATTCCTGATCAGCATCGAGCATCTGCAGCCGAGATGCTGGGTAGCTTCCGTTTGAACGGACACCTGGATCTCTGTGCAAGGAGAGGTATAGCAACACCATATACTCGTAGAATAATTCTGGATTTATATCTTTACAGACACAAATAGCGGACACACCAAATAACGCCTGTACATCAGATCTATGTACATATTTAATTTGGTTAAAATTGCTTCTAAGTAGATCGTTGGAGTGCCGAATATAGCGATTCTGCCTGGTTGTTATTATTCTCATGGATTCCCATGGAACGTTTTCGGCAGAAGGTGCTTCGAGTTGAAGAAGTTCGACTTCAAGTGCCATGGGAGACATAGTACGGTAATACTCGTAGCTAATCGATTTGGCAATGCAGAACAATTGGCACGGAATGGTATTTTGCGCTGGTTGGTAATGTACTAGAGCCTAGAACTGGATTAAAATGAATTCACTTTAATGCATTGGGTGGCGGTGGCGGTGGCCAAGCTTAAAGACCACTGACGAGTTTTTCAAGTGTTTGATTAACTCAATTGAGCGCGCGCGCCGCCGAGTTGCAGTGGAAATTACACAACAATCGACTTGAAGTAAGTAGTGCCCTCGAGGCAAGCTCCAGCTCTAGACATCTCTATACATCATCGCCGTCAAGAGCGGCTCCTCATCCTCATCTCATCCTCATCCCGATGCATTTAGTTATGTAAACTTGGCTAAAACACAACACACTAGGCCGCCGGATCTCGCGTCTCGGCTTGCGCCTGCACTTTGACAAGGTCAAGTGGGTGTCAAATATTTACCATCCAAGCGTGCAGCTGTTGCCACCTATCGACCGGACACACGGTGCCCTGCCAGCCGCTAGCCGCCAGCCGCTGGCCGCTGGCTGCTCGTTGAACGGTGTTTGTTTGCCAATAATTAGTCAATTAAGTAATTGCTAATTTCGATGTTTAGCCAATGGCAAACATTTCATTGTTATTAACGTTTTCCCCACAGTCGCTGTCCGCTCTTTGAATATTGCCCAGCCAAGCGATGTCCGACGACATTGGAGGCGCTGCCGTTGGTCAGCTGCAACGTGCAACTGATCTATTTCGGGTGCCAAGTGGGGCATGACATGCAAAACTTTTCCAGCCGGGGCTTACGTGCTGGCGTTTTGTCGGTTCCCAATTGCGGATACATTTTTGGATCAATTATTCCCCACTATCTATCCCCACTGTGAGTGTGAGTGTGGATAAGTACGATACTCGTATATGTACGATTGATTCCTAACGACAGCTTAAACTTTTTCGTTGATCGGCGTGGCCAAGTAAGTTTGCTTATCCCCCGTAGTTGCATCAGCCTGACGTTGTCCCCTCCCGGTCAGGTGGCATTTCTATTTATACTTCCACCTCAAGCGGCTAAGATCAATGTTGGGTTGCATACGTAACAGCCCCCTCCCACACGTGTTTCGGAGAGCTGGACACCCCCCAATCGATCGAAAAGTGATAGTCATGGCATATGGCAATGACAGCCACTCCCGGACACAATCAAAGCAAGGATGAGGTGTCCCTTGGGACGGGACAGGAAGGGAAGGAATCAATCTTGGAATTCTCTATAAGTTGATGAATGAACGATAAATTTAAATTTGAATTTTGGCGGCTAATTCCACCCTAAAAGTAGGCAACATTGCGCTTTTCGATTTTGTATGTTTAAATTTAGTTGACAAAGCGTGGGAGACAGAGCAGTTTCTTCTTCTCTCGAATACTGCTGGAAGCTAAATCAAACCCCTGAAACATTGTTGCCCACAGAGGAGTAAAAGATGTTGATGCATTTTACCATTTTAATATAAATTAATAAGCTTTATTCAGGTTTTCCATTGTTTTTGAACTTGCCAGCTTAAACCACATAACTTAATAATGAAACCAATACAGATTAACAGACAGTTGAACAGTCACACATACAAATCTCTACAAGATCTTCTCGAACACTAACCGCTCCGCTCCGCTCTTCTCTGAAGTGAAACCAATAACCAAAAGTGGGGGATTTGGGGGAAGTTAACACAATGAGTAGCTATAAGGTCTACACATACATACATACATACTACATAAGAGTGTAAGCCACACCAAATGAGGTCCAATAAAAACGAACAGTTGACAAGTTTTGTTCTTGGTTCACACGCCAGCCAAAAACTGATTGTCTGCTCCTTAAGCCGTTCTGCACTTAAAATCTAAAAGCTTTATCTCCATGGTCCGTCTATCTGTCTGTCTATCTGTCTGTCTGTTTGTCTGTCTATCTAACTATCTGTTTGATTGCTTAGTTAGCTCTTGTGCTACACATGGGCTAGGGACTGTGTGTGTTGTGTGTTTCATTTTGCAATTGGCTAGCTAACTACATTCACCTTAAGCACTTCACTTATCAGTATACAAAAGTTTCACTATAAGACCTTTACAAAGTATTGCAACAAACAAACTGTTCGCCCCTCCGTTCTCCACGGGCAGATACCGCGTACCGCGTCCCGCGTTCCTCCACGTTCCTCCTCAATATACAAAAACAAGCTACAAATAGTTTAACGTGTTCTTTAAGTTTAAAGCAGACCTAAGCACAGTTTAGTTATCGTTTATCGTTAGGATTACGTCTCGACTGTTATCAAAAATTGCCCGTAAAAAATTCTACAACTAGAGTGAGTCTATCGCCCGTACGAGTATACAATATATGTGTACTATATATATATGCAATTGTATCTGTATATATGCATAGTGTGTGTGTGTGTATAGAGTGTGTTGGTGGCATTTGTTTGGGCTGTACGTACGTACATATGTATAATCATCTAATTCAATGTAAATGGATCTGTTCTGTCGCTAGTTTCAATGGGGCTACAAATATCATTCCAAAATATACATACATATATGTTTCTCTATCTCAATCTATCGAGTGTCGAGTATGTGTCTGCGTCTGTGATGGGATCGTGAGGAGGGTGGGTGGGTGGGTTTTGGTCTGTTTCTGGGTCTTGTAAACTTGTGCCACAATAGAAAACGTTCATAAAATGTTCGATTGGGGTTCGGGTGGGGTGGGGTGGGGGAGAGGATTCCGAGGTGAATTAATTTGTGTATTAAACATATTTGTTTTATAAGTTATCAAAAGAACAGTTCACAAAGCGAATGGTTCTCCCGGTTGAAGGTTCCGTGCCAGGTTCCAGTTCCAATGGTCATACTGCAGCTGCTTCTTGCCCTTTTTGCCCGTCTTTCCCGTCTTGTTCTTCAATCTGGTTCGGTTACACGCTAACACTTAACAGTAAACATAATGAATATCATCGTAGTAAATCTTAGTAGTAGTTATTTGACTTTGCGCTGGTGCAGACTAGAGCTACTGCTGTCCGGATTCAAGATGGACTCGTTGCTGGACAGCGCGCCTTCCTTGAAGAAGCCACCACCGGCATGCCCGTTCCCGTTCGCGTTCCCATTCCCGTTCCTCGTCACGTACTCGTCCTCCAGCACGGGCTGCAAAGAGAAAACAAAATTGCCAAATGAGTTCAAGTTCAGACTGTGGACTGTGTCCGTACAACCGACGGCGACACACGTGTGGGCCCCGCGCTAAGGTTCATTTCATCTCTAGGCTGCTCTAGGCTTGGACGCTGCGTGTCTGAGTGTCTGAGTGTGTGCCATTCTAATGGGTAGCCGCAGAATTGGGATTGTGTCTCTGCCTCGGCTGCTGCCCGTGCCAATGCCTATGCCTATGCCTATGCTTGGGCTTGGGCTTGGGCCTTCGCATCCGGCTTCACATGTGAGCGCTAATTAAAACGTCCCCCGCCAGCGCTGAGAGTTTGCAAGTGCTGTGGCTGTGTGGCTGGTGCTGTTTGCTTAACTTAGCTAGTTAGAATTTTTAAGTTGATCAACAAAATTGATGATAGAAGCACTACCCCTTACCCTTACCCACTACCCCACAACTCTGAACGTCTGAACGCCTTTGGCTTGTTTTGGCTTGCCTCAACACGACTCGACTTGACTGGAGTCGACCAGGCTGGACTCTGCCTACCTACCCAGAGGTAGGACTGTGTAAATGTGTTTGCTCAGCCACGGCTAATAAGATTCAAGGGCTACTTGATCTAAGGTCAGCCAACTGCGCATTAAGCCCGCCCTGGAGCGGGTGCCGGGTGCGGGTGCGGGTGCGGGTGCCGATGTAACGCAACAATGTGACACCTACCATGCAGGCCCCCTTGTTGCTGCCGTTGGCGGTCAGTGGTGCATCGCCGTTGCCCAAGTGCTTGCTGTGGCCGTTGGCGGGCAGGCCATGGCCATTGCCATTGGCATGACCATTGGCCTTGACAGCCTGCCGGCGACGACGGGCGGCATTCAGGTATTTGGCTTTGTAGAAGTCGGAGAACAGGAACAGGAACATGACGCCATGCAGGCCGATCCAGACCATGAAGCCCTTGGGATAGTCGCAGTCGCGGAACAGCAGCTGGAACTGGTGCGTGAAGATGGCCACGAACTGAACCTGAGCGAGAGAGAGAGAGAGAGTGTTAGAGTGCTGTGGGACATGTGGCAGGTGGCAGTTGGCAGGAGTTGATTTGGATGTATTACCATTTGGAAGGTGGTCAGGTACTTCTTCCACCAGATGAACTTCTGGTACTTGGGGCCCATGGCTGCGATCATGTAGTAGAAATACATCACAATGTGCACAAACGAGTTGAGCAGGGCGAAGAAAGTGCTGTGTCCACCTACATACGACACGATACGATACATATTATGCTCTGATCTGATCTGATCTCATCTGAAGGATACGCACCTGGGGCAAACTTAAGACCCATCCAGACCGAGAACGGCATGCAGCCGTGATGAATGACGTGGAGTGTGGATACGTGCTCGTTCTTCTTCCTCAGAATGAAGAAGAGTGTGTCAAAGAACTCGGTGAATTTGGATATGTAGTACCACCAGCAAATGTTGACCATCTGCAAGGAGGGGGGAGAGAATGAGTTTGGCCCGTTCTATGGTTCTTATCGTGGCTTATCGCAGTGGCACTCACCCGCAGGGCCAGGGGACTGTTGCCGTAGTCAACTGGCTGACACTTAAAGCTGTAGTGGCCCCACCAGCCGCTCATTAAGTACTACAACGACAAGAGATTGGAATTGGCTGAGGGTTTGTTGGGAGGGGCAGGTGCTGGGCGATTCTAACCTCATAGCAGATCCATGCGCTGAATATCGTCTGTATCGCGTTGTAAATGACTAGCACCGAGCGCAGTTCCATTGGCTTCCGATTGGCCATAAGTCTTGGTCCCAGGGATGTGCTGAAGTATGCATAGAATATGCACATTCCGAGGGTCGGCAGTGGCGACGACAGCAGAAAGAAGTCATTCACACGGGGATCTGCAATATTTACGGGTCATTACCATTACTTCCACTCCCACATCCACATCCATGTCCATTTCCATTTCCGCACTTACCGCTCTTGTTGTCCATGAGATCCCTGTACCACTCCTGGGCCTCTTGCAGTATGATCGCCATTCTGATGTTGCTCCTGTCCGGTCTCCTTCTGTCCTATCAAAGTGCACCTGATTTCGGTGCAAGAAAGCTAAAAGGGAAAATACAATTAATGTTAACTATGCTGCAGTGGAGTGGAGTCTAATGGCGTGGAGCGTCCCCCATTTGCAGCCAAAAAGGGACAGCAACAGGAACAGGAAACGATCCACGGGCATTCGGCATGCGGACACGCTTAGCAATGACATTGAACCTCTCTCTCTCTCTCCATCCCTCTGTCCAGTGCTCTGGGCTCGGACACGAACCAAACAAGAGCAGAGGGGAAGCACACGACAAGTTAATTGGCGATGCATTAGAGACTAGTACACACAATAAAATGCAAAATGCATGCAATTAACAATCTACCCGTTAATCAACACTTGGGATCGGGAAATTACATTACCGACATGTGTGAAGAGGGCGGCGCGGCGACTGCGATGGCGGTAGCCAGGGGCGTGACTTGGCTTGGTCAGTTACTCGCCCCGGCACCGAGAAGAAATTGCACAATGATCACGGCTATTTGCCACTTGCTGGCGGACAGCAATTACTCGTGAGATGAGATGCCGCTGGCTGGACGGAGCGGAGACAGAGGCTGCACTTTGTGCCAGCCGGATTCCAGCACAGTGGGCACCGCACCGCACCGATCGCTCGATCGCTGCTGCTCAGGTTCAGGGAGTTCAAGCTCCGATTCAGGTTCTTGCCAACTGTCTTATGAATATCAATTGATTTGTGTTAAGTGAAAGCAAATTCCTGATCGTGTCTCGGATCGCCAGTGCAATCCCAGAGGGTTCTGTTGAGGTTGAGGTTGAGTTGAAGTTTCGCTTTTCCCGCACCTGCACCCGCACCCGCACCCGCACCCGAACGTGTGGCCTTCCCGCCCACGGGCGGGAGCACTCGTCCGAGCTGCTGCGTCAACGACATTTGAACGACCGGGTCGTGGTTGCGGCCACTTCAGGTTGCTGTTTTTGAATGTCATGAACAATAAATTGGCCATGGAGATGGCTAACGAGATCGAGACGGAGATGGAGATGGCGACGTAAGCGTTGAGCAACTGGCTCAATAACCGTTGACAAAAATGTGCCGCTTTTATTACAGTTTTCGTTTCCTCAGCCACCGACAACGCCACCGCCAATTTCGCTGCTGTCGCAATTGGCGTGGCTGGGGCTGGGGCTGTGTGGGTCAGTGGCACGCTTTGTGGGGCAGCCGCCTGGCCTCCGCACGAGGCAATCCCGAAGGCGTGCAGCGTCCGAGGTGCGACGACATTCAGCCGCTGTTTTTGGTCGCATATTTCGTATTTTTATTTTGTTTCGGATGAATTACGAAATACTCGTAGCATTCACGATGACGTTTCTTTTGAGGGATGGGATGGGCAATGGCCTCAGCTAGCATAGACAGGCAATCCGGGGGGAGGTGTTGCGGGTTCGTTCGAATTGTCATGGCAAACAGCAAAACACAGAGGCAGGAAAAGGGAGGAACGCTCCCGCTTATGTAATTGACTCGCTGCCAAGGTGCCAAAGTGCCAAGAAGATACAAGATACGGAACGCAAAGTGAAGCAAACAAAATCCGCAAACAAGTCGGGGGGTCGCGGTCGCGGGTGCATGTACAGGTAGAGGTACACAGGTAAACAGTCAATGAGCCATCAAGAGCCGCCTGTTGCTCTTCCGGCTGTGGCAGCTCGACAATCCATCCCCCAACCCCCATGCCCAGTGCAGCCTAGAGATGGTCTACGCTACGTAATCGCCGAGAGATTGGCAGAGTGGCACTTGCGGGGCGGGGGACGTGGAACGGGGGATGGGCAGACGCCTGCACGCCACTGTTTGTTGTGTTTACACGATGTTGCAGTAACCGTGGTGGAGTGGTTGCATTTTAGATATCAATTAGAGCAGCTCCGCCCCACCAACAGCAGCAGCGGAGGACAGAAGCAGAGGTAGAGGTAGAGGCAGCGGCAGAGGCAGAAGCAGAAGCAGAAGCAACAGACAGAAAATAACAACAAAAGCAGCGCAAATAGTTTGATGAGTTTGTTGATTTTATCGCACTTCACCCTCGGGGGCCTCGGGGCCTGTGGGGCATGGAGATTATACGGCTGTGTCCATGTTTTCTATTGTAATCGTTCGCTTGGAAAACCTAATTAAGTGGAAAATCGATGCAGAAGAGCGCCAATACAGGTCATTTACATACATATGTATATATGCATATGTATATTTAAGTATGTATTTATGGAAGTGGGGTCTGGGTGGGGTGGCAGGCCAATGACGCATTCCTGCACGATAAGCCAGGGACACTTTCACACGCACACTGTGCCCCAGAAGGCGTATCAATAAGTGAGTCACATGGCGGACTTTTAATCTCCAGAGATAGGAAGCAATTTCCTTGAAGTAAACTCGGCACTGGCCTCAATCGGCCACTGATTGCCCCCCGCCCACCTGCTCTTATCAATCTGCAGAATTATGTATGTATGTATGTACATTTTTTCGGTGTCCGCTCCCTGGGCAGATGGATGATGGCTGATTGGCTAATTGGATTTGGGCGATAAGCCGGCTATAAGCCATAAGCCACACTAGGACTGACCACTGACGGCCACTCTTCAGTCTGCACCATATCCAAGACCCGTGGCCCGTGGCCCGAGGCCCGACTACCGATCGCCGCATGGAGATCATACAAATTAGCTTCTGGCCGCATTTCTGTTATCTACGCGCACCACTTGATACATACATATGTGTGTGTGTGGGTGGGTGGGTGTGTGTGCACTCGAAAGTCGCGTCACGTTTGGGGCGCACTTGGGGCGATTATACAATGGGGGATTGCAAGACCGACCCGACACACGGGCTGCTCTGCTCGAGCGGCCTACGTCCACTAGTTTTGGCCACGCCACGCACCTGCTGCCTCCCCCTTTTTTTTTGGAAGGGGGGGGGGGGGCCCCTCAAAGTTTCGCTTTCTTGCGGGAATGTAATGCTTTGTGGGGTTTTGTTTTTTGTTTTTTTTTGTCACTGAGTTTTAGTTTTGGTTTCAGTTTGGAGTTTTGGCCCTTTACATATGTATGTATGTATGTTGTATGTATGTATGTATGTATGGACTATTTATGGGCGGGCTTACGCCGATTATCTAATCACACGCACTCGACAGTCGCCGACACTCACACTCACAGAAATCAACACGAAGCAGCAGTAGTCGCGGGTAGTCTTCTCGGCCCGTATTGTTTGGATATTATTTTGGTATTATTTGGCAACAGTTTGTTGCTGATCGGTTGTTCCGGTTGTGGCCCGATGCTCTGCCTTGGACGCTTTTAAGCCAACTGACGCCTGGTTGGATGTGCGTCTGAACCTTATCAGGCGGGCGGGCAGTGGCGACAAACGACAATAGCAACGACAACGGGCAACGGGCAACGACAACGACAGCGACAGCGATACGACGAAGCTGAATCGATCAGTGCGCGCACGAGTAAAGCGATTATACGGCTTAACGGTGAATCATGCCAAGTACCAAGTACCAACTGAGAGAGCGCTCCCTGAAGGGAGAGCCCGAGAGAGACGCAGAGAGAGCGAGGGAGAGAGGAGTAACGGGGAGAGAAGTGAATCCGAATATCGTTTAATAATTTATGTACTTCGTTCGGGCCCAGGCTTATCAAAGACTTCGTCCGGTCGTCCAGTCGTGCGTCGTGCATCGAGCATTGAGCGGCGTGAGTCGCGTGAGTGGACGGGAGCCAGCGGCACGACACGGCACGACACGACACGACACCTCAACGTCAACGTCAACCCGCTACTTGAACCGTTGGCCAGCGTGCCAGAAAGCCAACTGAAGTCCCGGGCTGCCTGCTGCGGTCCGTGTCCAACTTGAGCTTGCATTGCAAATTATGTACAGAGACACCAAGATACACAGATACGGATGCACGGAGAGAGCAAGACCGCATGGAGAGAGATGTCGGAGCGGTGATGTTTCTGTTTCTGTTGCTGCCTTGCTGCCCTGCTGCCGTGCCGCAAGTCGCCATCTTCTGTGGCGGCAACAGTTGGCTGATGTAACTGCGCTTGCTGGCGCTGTTGGCTGGCCATTTCTATGCATTCGTTTGGCCAACGGTCTGGCTCTGGCCTGCTGGCTGTGGACTATTAGAGCTGCTGCCAAAACCACTTTCGCTTTCCGGCCATATCTGAGTCTTTGTCTACCGCTGTGTCTGTTTCTGTTTCTGTGTGTGTGTGTGTTTGTGTGTGAGCGAAGCGGAGAGCCGAGCTGCCCGCTGTCCAGAGAGTGGGGTAGTAGGGTAGTGGGGTGGCAGACGCCACTCGGAAGCAGCGCCGCTGCTTGCAAAACTGTGCCACATGCAACAAGTGTGCGGAAATTCCCCCCTGCCGATACGAGACCAGAGACCAGAGCCCGAGACCCGAGACGAGACCAGTCTGTGCCGCCGCGTGCGCTCATACTCGTGCACTGAATAGAACTGAGTGAGAGAGAGAGAGACAGCTCAAAGTCGAGGAACCGTTACCTGCATACTTCCATACTTGAGGCCTAATTTGTTGACTTGACTCGGACGGTCAGTCAGTCAACCGGCCCGACAGCCAAAACTTGGCCAACTGGAAATACGCTTTAGCATTCCCCTCGCCTCTTTATTTTCGTTCGATGAGAATGATTCGTTTCTGTTCTCTCATAATGAAATGCAAATGTGACCCTTGGTGGCACGAGCCCAAGTTCGTCTCGAACTCCAGCCCATCGGGCCTGGGGGGGGGCGTGACTGTACCTACATATCTATTTGCCTTGCCGAATGCTTGAGATTGTCGTTTTCCGCCTTTTTCCATCATCTTTTCGGCATGTGTCGCTGAGACAATGGCTATGGACAAATTGATAAACAAACTAAAGGTCGACTGCAAGGGAACCTTTGGATCGGAGATCGGAGATCCAAACGGCGCAGTCAGATGTGAGATGTACTCCACTGATATGGATACGTTCCTCAAACGCGGAGAGGAAATCTTAGAGTCGTGCGATAACTTAAGCCAACAATCCATCAATTAACTCCATTCGGGGACAAATATAAATATATGTACCTACTCGTCGCACCTTTGGACACA